TAAAGATATTATTAATTGAAGAAGGGGTTACAAAATTATCATTATCAAAACCCTCTTAGTCTCATTTTTTCTTCTCAGTCATCTTTGATTTTCCTCCGTTCTTATTATTAAGAGGTTTGTAGCCTTTATTTTTCTTCTTTCCCTCCATGATCATGAAAAACATGCTTGTCTAACTGTGAATTTTTTATAGAGAAACTAGTTACATTAGAAACGCCCCATCATATATTTTGTCAACATGGACAAGTCTACCAGCTACGATCTAATCATTCAGCGTTCTAATCATTCAAATTTGTCTCCTAAACTCTGTTGTATAATCTTGAACTGTTTGATCTTACAGCTATCACAACCCATGTAACTTCCTCAATCTTTCTTCTTTACGCCTACATGATGAAATTCTTAGCAAAACAATTTCTTAAATTACCCTAAGATAATATTTTGACGCCATACCAAAAATGAGCATTCCATCAAGTCAACCCACGCTTGATGAGTTTAATTTGAGCGAAAGAAATATTCTTTTGAGAAGAATACCTTTAGAGAGTGAAATATATTTCGAGATGATCCATCAAGATATCAAACTTCTTCACATCAATAGAAACATCAAAAGGTAGTGAAGTCAATTTTAGCCTCTACCTTAAAGCGTTGAGGTCATCCTCTAAAAGAAAGCTCAATATACCTCATCTTTTGCGTCATCTTCTTGAACGCCACAAATAATATTGGCTTCTCATTATCATAATGACATAATCTTCCTATGGCATTGATCCTCCATGTATTTTGGTTTTAGAGAAAGAGACCCATTATGTTTTTTCTTGCTCAACATCTCCATCATCACAACCATCTACTATTGAACGAGAGCAACTTAATTAGCCAAGTTATTGTAGGTTTCTCTTTGTAATGCTGGCATCACAGCTTCCCCTAGTATTTTCTTAAAGGTTTTAGGATCAATATAGTATTATTATCTTTCTATAGCCACTCTTCATCTACACCATGCACCATAGTTCTTCCGAACCTATAGCTACGATACCAAGAACCTAATTTGCAACCACTAGTAAAAATTGAAGTAGGATTTGACTGACACTTGAATCATATGGCCTCCAGTGAGCTTTTTAATCTGAACTCTTAATCATGGAGCAAGAAACACACAAGTTACATTAATGAAGGTAACAATACAAGGAGGAAGATGATGTTTTCTTGAATACTCTCTCTAGCTATCCAACTCCATGAGTATTTCTATAGAACATGAGCAATCTTCTCTTCTAGAGAGCTACTTCATATGAGTATCCCTATAGAACATCAATCTTGATGCGGACATCCGACGGTGGACGTTAATCAAAGAAAGAGACAAAGATCATCGACCGAGATCACTTCATTTTTTTTATCTTAGTTTATTAATTGTATTTTTTATTTTAATTAGCATTTTCCATTTTCACCCTTATTTAAGAGTCTTGTCTTATGTAAGCCCAAGAGTCAAAATTGTCTTTTTAGATTCTTTTATTTTAATGCCTATATATAGTGGCCCTTTCTCTTATATTAGGTATGATGAAGTTTTAATAAAAATTTTGTTTTGCACTTTTGTTCTTGGGGGGAACGCTAGTGAGAATCCCTATGAAGGGAATCGTGATTTCCACCAACTGCAGGATGGGTCCGAGCTCGTGGCTTGAAATCCCTTCGTAAATGGCATCGTATCACCAGTCAGTCTTCGGAAGAGTCCAATACCCGTGGTTATATTTTTTTTTCTTTGCTTTGTTTTCTCCTTATTTTCCTAATCATCATCTCCATCCTACCTCCAATCCCACCGGCTTCATCCCATCCTCCACCCAAACCTGCCGGCCTCTTCCCACAATCCCCTCTTCTTCCCCACCGAAATTCCCCATCCCCATCCTAAGCCTAACCGGCCAGCTTTCCCCCACTCCAAACCGCCAATGCTCTCACAAACCATAACCCTAATACCTCCATAGCCGCCGACCACCTTCTTTCCTCCATTGGCTCCAACAACTTCATCTTGTATTCAAAACCTTCCTATTATATACATCTTAATTTGGTAATGAATGCAAATTCAAAATTTAAATTAATTTGAATTTGAATTTGTTTCCTAAATTAGGACTCTTATTTTAGAAAAGTTGTTCCAATTAAATTTCTGATTGGATTTGATTTAATTTCTTCTCATAAATTAAAAAGCTTTTATTAGGCAAGCCATAAAGTCCCTTACCTAATCCCTCTTTCCCTCTTAAAGCCGCCTGCCACCTAACCCTAACCATAATTCCTAGCCTAACCACCGGCCTCTTTTCCCCAATCCCCCTTTGCCTCCAAATTCGAATTCCTATTCAAGACCTTCCTTTTATTCAACGTCTTAATTTAGGAAAATTTCCAAATTTTCAAATTCAAATCAATTTAAATTTGAAATCCTTTCCTAAAATAAGTTCAATTTCATTTGGAAACTTCCCTAATATTATCAAATCGGAAATTAATTAAGATTTAAATCAATCACCACATTTAACGAACTTGGACACCCTCTCTCCTCTCCTTCTCTAGGCATGCCCCTCATCTCTCTCTCCAATCCATTTAATTCCCATTAATTCCCCGCCCACGCCCACCCCCCCTCCTTGGAGCTTTAATTTATCCTTAATTAAAGGAATAATTTTTCTTTTCCATTTAATTTGAAATCCCAAATTTCAAATGACCCCCTCCCTCATATCCGTGCTACATCAAATCTCCTCTTCTAGGCCTGAAATCTAAAGATCTCAATATATCACATTGGATTGAAATAGAGTCCCAGAAATCATTTATAACATCAGAATGATAATTATAAATGGGGAAGCAATAAAACAAAAATAGAAGGAAATCATGTAAATATGCAATTTTTTTGGGAGGCGACACCAAATGCGGAGCTGATTTCATTTATTGTGGGAGCTAGGTTAACATTATGACTACTAGCCAATGGTCTTCTCAGCTATAGAGTCACTCAACCCTTGAGCTTCTTCCAAAGGCCTTGCTAGCACATCTTAGCCATGTCAATTCCTCTCGGTTTTGACAAATTTCTCTTAGATGCACTCTCAGGTGGCCGCTTAGAACTTCCAAGTTCTCCAAGTTTAACCTCATATTTGCCTAAGCAGCCTAATCTCCTAATCAACATGCTTTATAAGTTTCAATAATATCATACCTCTACCAAAAAGTCAATATTTATAGTGATGATAATATTATACGAAATGGAATAGTTATTAAGGTAAAATATGGAAGAAAATACACTTAAGTTTCATAGCTAATTATTAAATGATGTATGCAAAAGAAAATTATTATAAAGTAATAAAAATTCATGATACTTGAACGATCACAACAAACCCTTATTAATGCAACTTTATTTAGCAGACTTAAATTAGCTAGTAAATGTAATGAGTATGTTATATGTTAATATTAGATATTAGATAGATAATAAATGTTTTTTAGGTTCATATGGACCTTGTAATGACATAAAAATCCTTAGCAAGAATTAGTATTATACAATGAATAAAAATAAGAATTAGCTACTCTCACTCTCCCAAAACCTAGAGTTATGGAATCTTTTAATTACATGTCACTTTCATACTAATTTACGGTTTTAGGCAAGCTTGAAGTAACAAGGTCATCCTATTTTTCTTTGATTTTCTTTATTTTTTTAGAGTTTTTATATTTAATTCATATTAAATGGTGCTCTCATTGAACTTCTCACCAGGTTCCACCTGTAATCTTCGTCCCTATCACCCAAATCCAAATGATTTACAGTTATACAGTGAATAGAATAAGTATTAGATACACTCTCTCCCCCCCCCCACGCACACACACAAAAAAAACCTAGAGTTATGGAATATTTTAATTTCATGTCTATTTCGTAATAATTTATGGAGTTTAGGCAAGCCTGAAGTTGCCGGGTTATCTCATTTTTCATTAATTTTCTCAATTTTTTAGAGTTTTTATGTTTAGTTCATATCAAATGCTGCTCTTCTTGAGCCTCTCACTATGTGCCACCTCTGATTTCCATCCTGTGACTTGAATCCACATCTCCTACACCAAATATACCTCTCCCACCTCTAACAATCTCAAATCTCCAATCCAAACCTCTCTCTCACACACTCAGCAGACATCTGATCCCCTTGATCCACCAGCACCAATCACGATTCTATCATCTTAGCCATCAATGTTCCCTCCTGCCAAATTATGCCTTCCCCGTGTAGATCTCGCCAAATCCAACATCCTCAACCCCGCCTTAGCTTGCATCCGTCGATTCCCTATCCTTCATTCCCAAATCTTTTGCTCATTTTCAAAGCCTCCCGCAACCAAATTTGCCTCTGCCTCTCGCAAATTACCCAACCTCCACTAGCTAGACCTTCATCAACTTGGATATCGCAAGAGTTCATAGTATTTTTTTTTTGTGTTGCTCAACAGTGAGGGCAAAGTTGTTATGAAGGGGTAGGTAATGCCAGGTCATAAATGTATTGAGTGCGTTATAGGTTAATTTCAGGTGTTATATAGTTAATATGAATTTTACACAGTCTGATAAGTCTTATATTTCTATAAATACCCTTATTTAGAGAGAATTAGGTTTATACAATGCTTTGGATGCTCCCTCTCTCCCCCAATATCAGGAGCTGTGAGCATCACTAACTGTCTCTTCTCCCTCAATGACTTCTAGAGTTTTGAAAGCTCAAAATTTCCTAGTTATACCATTTTTCAGTAATTCTCTCTGCTTACTTGATTTTTTCTGTATAGTATCAATTTACCTAGGACGATTGACTACACAAGTCATTACTATGCTCACAGATCATACAAAATGACATACGCTGCTAATTTCCAAGTCAGAGAATCATCTAATTAGTACCTGGAACATACAAAAGAAATGTCATCCATGAAGCATCTAAAAAAAAAGTTCTACAAAACAGCTCAAAGCATATATCATATGCATTCAGTTGGTAAGAAAAACCACCGCATTTATGTAAAACTTCAAAAAATGATGCTATGACTATAATTACCTTATAAGTTTCACAAGTATCATAGAACCGTAGACATACATCACTTGCACGGCTCTCACTCGTCACAGAAAATGCTCTATGCATCCCGGGCCCTAAGGTTCCATTTCCTTGAAAAAGACCAATTCCAAATGCCACAGAACTAGCTGATGCACGAGGAACCTATGTGAAAAAGATATTCAGGAGAAGTCATCTACTTAATCTTTTATAACTAGATATAAGCAATTATAAAAATGATTAGTAACAATCATATCCAATCAAGATAATGAAATTACAAAAAAGCTAAACATAGTTTGAATTTGAAAAGAATTAAATAAAATTGCCATATCATCTTAAGATATGTTGGTCCGGGGTCACAAACAATACTTTTTTTCATTTTACAATCATAAATCCCAAATGACGCAAAAAATGAGCTCCATATGATATAATATATATATATATAAAGAAAGAGAGAGAGAGAGAGAGAGAGAGAGAGAGAATTTTTTCTAGTTTTGTTCCATCCCATGACATTAATAAAAACATTCAATTGTGGATAACATACATGTTTTCAAGAATTGCAAGAAATTAATATAAGTTATTAAGTTATGCAAGCTATCTAACAATCACCAAAAGATAGAATTCTAGGAATCGTTAGTATTCGATTTCGAGAGGCAAAGAATTACAATTAAAATACATAATATTAAGATAATTCAAAGGTAGCAACACCTATGGCAATAACAATGAATCCACCTCCTAACAATTAGAAAATTCTCCTAGGAGTTTCCCCACATTCGCTCACTTGGAGTGGACTTAACGGAAAAAGATTTTAGACAATAAAATTGATGCCACTAATAAACAGAAGACGCCGAGAGTAATGGCCAACAGAGAGTTACCCGGATTCGGAGGATTCGGTGGGCGACGAACAAGTAATCACGGGTTGTCAGAGAAGCGTTCCCCAATGGCAGGGGCTAGTTGGAAGAGAACTCTATCCACGTATCCTTCCACGGAATCGTCGAGCTCCAAATCTAGGTTGGCGAGCGAAGATTGTTGAATGTTGATGAAACCCGCTTGATCGTAAACGAGTTCGGAGTCAAGCTCGGAATCCACTAACCATGGACAATGACACCTTGATGCTTGGACCAATGGTGGCCGACGGCTTTGGAACAAAGAGGGAGGAGAGGGCCGAGTAGGGTTAGGTGGGTGGGGGTGTTTTGGGTTTAGTGGAAGAGGAAATGAATTAGAAAATTCTGAGTTTTGATTTCATACTTTCTAAATGGAGGGAGGAGGATAAATTTGAATTCAAATTAACCCAAATTTGGGCTAGGGGAGGGGGCGGCATCTATGGGGGAACTAAGGGAGGAATTAATTGATGCTTATGTGGCAAGTGGAAAGAGAAAGGGAGGAGAGAGGGGCCGGCCAAACCAAGGTGGGGGAATTAAGGATTTACTAATTAATTGTGGGCCCCATAGGATTAACTCTTGATTTAAATCAAATCTGAAATTAATTCAGATTTTGATTTATTGGGAGAGTTTCCTAATTGAATTTGCAAATAGGGAAAGAGTTTTGAATTTCAAAATTGATTGAATAGCAATTAAATCCCTTTCCTATTTGTGGTGATGTATTTTAGGAAAGAACTAATGAGGGGGTTTGAATTTTGAAATTCAAAATTCAAATATGGGAGAGAAATTTGAATTTGAATCTGAAATCCAAAATTAGGTAGTGTTAATGTAAGGAGAGAAGAAAAAGGAAAGGGGATCAATAGGGGGGGCCGACAACATGCATAGAGGAAGAGGGGTTTGAGGAGGGAAATTAATGCTCCTTAATGCATCAACTCAGTTTAGGAAAAAGGTGAAGAAATCCAATCTAATTTAATATTAAATTAGATTCAAATTTTGAAAATTTTCCTAATTTGGCGTAGTCAATTTAGGAAGGTTTTTTTAAATTCAATTTTTGAATTTCAAAAGGACGAAATCTCTTCCCAAAATTCACCCACCTTGGGTCTCTCCTCTCAATAACTCATAAACAGATCAAGAACAAAAAAACTAACATTTTACTCATCATTCACCATCTCTACTACAAAGACTTGGCCTCTATAAATAGGCCTCCATGAAGAAGAAAACACAAAGACAAACATGCCTTCCGGACTACAACTCTCTACATTCCCTCATAGGGGTACAATGGTCAAACACAACTAAAATAATAAAACTAATACAAAAACACAAAATAGAAAAACATAAAATAGCTCATAAATGAATGCTCCTGATCGTGGCCATCGATCTGCGATGTCTCCTATGATAGACGTAAGGGTGTAAGTGAGTCAAGCCGGCTCGTGAGCCGGCTCGAACTCGACTCGTTAACAAGCTCGTGAGCCTAGCTTATCGAGCTTCGAGCTCAAGCTCGAGCCTACAATCGAGCTCGTATCATAAACGAGCACGAGTTCGAGCTCAACCCGACTCAACTCGAAAGCTTATCAAGCTACTCGATATATATATATATATATATAATCTTATTTTTTTATAATATCAAACGAGCTCGATCTCGAGCTTTTCAAACGAGCTCGAGCTTAATATTTTCTAAATGAGTCGATCTTGAGCCCACTAATCGAGCTCGAGCTCATTAAGGATTAAACAAGCCAGGCTTGATAAGGCAAATACTCGACTCATTTACACTCCTAGATAGACGTGCTGGAATCGTTTACTGATGTCCTCATCAGTTTTAAAGCCCAAATCTTGTTAACAGGAAAGTACAAACCTGAATGGTAATATAAAATATGCCCTTACTTAAGAAACACTTGAGCCTTGCATGGTACAACATAGTTCATTTAGGTCCCTCCCTTCCCTCCTATAACCCTACCCTACCTCACTCCATCTCTTTCCTTGAGCCTCCCTCCAACCCCCAACGCCTCTGCATATGCTCAGCCTCTACCCTTTTTCACAAAATCTTAGCATTATCCCGACTGATTGGCCACGGCCATTTGAGTCCTTTGCCATCCTTTGCTCCTAAGCGTGAATGCTGCTAATTCTTGGAGTAAGCTCAGCTATATGATCATTCACAGCAGCTGCACTGGAAGAACATTTCACAAAAGACTCATGGTAATAGTGTATCAACTATCCAAGCCCAAAAGTAAAAAAAGAAACTGACGAGAAGCTTAGCACAAGACGAAAACAGCAGCACATAACAAGTCAAAATTAATTACTAGGAACAAATTTTGTTTTGGCAGTGTTTCTGTTAATTAAACAAACATAAGTCAATAAGCATTGCTGTTACCTGAGTTGCTCTTATTGAGAATATATCAGGATGATATTCCTCGTTGAACAATTCTGGAAATCTTTTCCGTATTCTTAAAGCTAGATGATAAAGTTCGTCTTCTCCTTTAATTATTAGCTCCCCACCTTTCAGTCTGCCTTTCCAGGGAGATTGCCAACCAGACAACCAGGATGGAATTTTCTGCGGAAGGCTCTTTTCTCCACGTTTTGCTTCATTAAGCAGTTCATCTAAATGAATTGCCAATTGATCCAACTCTTTAATCCGCTTCTTGGTGGGAGAACGAGTTCCATGCCTTGCCTACATTATCAATTTAAGGTAGTCACAAAGATTGTTCGATTTACAACTGGAATAAAAAGGAAACAATCAATGAGAAACTAACAAAAATTAATGCAAAAAAGTAATGGAAAACTAGAAGCATCATTACATTTCATAAAATTTATACATCATTAATTAGTTAATTATATTATTATTTGCTTAATTAAAGATTTCATGTTAAATTTAATTATCATTAAATATTCCATAATTACATCTCATTTACTTTAGCATATTTATTTGAACTGTAATTTCAATTAAATCTATTAAATTTGTTGAATATGGGTTTTCTATGTTAATTATTCATTAATTAATTACTTATAATTATTACTTTTTAGTGAAGGAAGTTAAGCTTGACTGATTAAGTTGTTTGCATGCAATTTGATATATAATATCATAAATGAATGCTATAATATCCTATATCTATATTACTTATTTATGGAACTGCCACCAACTTAAATACTAGTTGGAAGGAAATTTTTTAGCTTTATTTTTAAATTTGGTTGCTGCTTTGACTTTTTTTCATGTCATTTCATTTTATATACATAGAAAATGATATAGAAAATGAAATCAGTAGTAAAATGCTAAAAAAATGACAAGATAGTGAGTTTCATCATGAAACCGATTTGGAAGGATTTTATGTCAAGCTACAAGTGTCATCAAGTTTAAGCACTTCCTTGAATTCTCATTTAGTGATATCTTTCTATCTCAATCTCTTAATAAATTTTGTATTTATGTTCAATTGTATATTTTCAAACTTGAATTATGGAGGTCAACCTTAGAGTCTAAAGGTTTTAGTTTTGAGTAGATCTAAAACAATATATTGAGTGAAATTTTATTAGTAATAGATCTAGTTGGGAGATTGTGACTTTGGGTGATCAAGTCATTAATAAGAGTACACATTTTAGATATCTTGAGTCTATTGTTCAGAGTGATGGTGAAATAAATGGGGATATTATTAGTATAATTCAAGTTGGATGGTTGAAGTGGAGGAATGCATCATCGGGCTTGTTGTGTGATAGAAAAGTCTCCCTCAAACTTAAGGAAAAATTTTATAAGATATTGGTGAGACCTGCAATACTTTATGGTGCAAAATGTTGCCCAATAAAAGAGAATCATAATATTAAGTTAAGTGTTGCAGAGACAGGATACAAAATGAGCATATACGTGAAAATGTTGAAATAGCTCCACTAGAAGATAAAATTAAAGAGAGTCGCCTTAGATGGTTTGGTAACATAAAACAGCGACCTTCCGATGACCCAGTTAGAAAAGTAGATGTATTAAATTTGGCTTATGTTAAGAAAGGTAGAGGTAGACCTAAAAAGACTTGGCTAGAAAATATTAGAAATGACATTTCTTTATCAGATTTAATTATTTAAATGAGAATTTGACTCTTAACATGACACAGTGGAAAAAAATGATTCATGGAGCTGACCACACATAATGGGACAATGGATGGATGTTGTTGTTGTTGTAGTATAATAGAAATTAACTGTAATGAATTGTTAAGTGACAATCTTAGATCATTATCAAATTATTATAACACTTAAAAGATTTTATTTTATAACCTTATTTGTGCCAAGTTTTGGAGGTCCTCAAGAAACTCTTATTATAAAACTTGGTTGTTGGTGCAATTGTTGTATCAAAAGTGGGTCATCTTCCCCTTTAAGAAATATGGTGTAAATATTTCATTACCAACATGGATGTAGATAGATGCGATGTTGAACAACATAAATATAGATTGTGTTCATTTTCTAGTAAATTTTCATATTTACTTGTATGTTTGAATGGTTATGTGTTGCAAAAGTGGAGCTATTAGCTATCAATTCTTTAAATAAACTCCTAAAAGGTAAATTACTTGATGCCATTGGTATTATTGTTGAAAGTGATAATTATAATATCATCCAAATTCTTCAATTGTACAGCAAAGACAAGAAGTTGGATGATAATAGTGATGAGGATCATGATTTATTTTTTGGGAATAATTTTAATAATGTCGTTTTTCATCATATAAGACGACAATGTAATAAGTTAGCACACTTTTGTGCTAACTTAGCCTTGTCCTAGGAATTTTTTTGGGAACTTTTTTCTGAGAAGAATCTACCTAATTCTTTCGTTCAATTGTTGAAGAGAGAATGTAATATGGTAGTTTCTACTCATTAGCTTGTATCTAGGTTTCCTTTTTCTTATTTGCTTTAATATATGCTTTTTAGCATTCTTCAAAAAAAAAAAAAGAATGGTTATGTGTTGATTCAAGAACTAATGATATCATTCTCTAAAGTTAAGTAAATTATATCTATCCTACTTAATAAGTTTCTACGCTCACACTCTTAGCATATATTATTTTATATCAACCTATATATTTTGTGTGCTTTTGACTTTTGAGTTTTGATGTTTGATGATTTAATTATCATAGCATGCGTACTGGTGTTAATCATCTATATTTGTTGAATATTCATAGTCACTCTCTTTATCTTTTAATCATTTAGTTGAGTGTTATAGCATATAGATTGGGCTTAATATTTACCACTCACTTTGTAGAATTTACATCTTCTAAACATTGTAATCTGCACTTATATGCTTATGTGTTTAGCTTGACTAATTATTTCATTATATTCAGTGTTTATCCTAAGAGTTTGAGTTGGGAAGAACTTTGCATGAAATTTTAACAATATTTGTGTCGCCCCCTTCCTCCCTCCATATCTCAGAATGCCTTTAAACTAACACTTGCATGTTATGAAATCTATTTTCTTCAGCTTAAAGTATGAGAAGCACTATGGATTCTAATAGTAAGAAATTAATAATTATTCCTTATGTTGTCAAAAAAATAAATAGTATTTGCCATTTTTATAGCAATCCCTATAATGGTAATCATAGGAATTCTCTTAAAAAGCTAAATGAGTTATATGATAGAAAATATAGCAAGCTCAATAAGTAGGAATAACTATGATTAACTAAGTCACACAAAATGCTAAGTCTAGAGAAATAAATTTGTCCATTAATTTTAGAAACATGAAGAAATAAAAATATAATGGCTCTGCAAAGAATAAGATGGAGTAGGAAGTAATCGAAGGATATAGAAAAGGCGAGATGAAATGGTGTTCAGGAGAAGCATTTCACCCCTTAAAATTTGATTTAATCTAAAAATAACCCTAAATAATAACATAAACCATTTACATTACAAATATGCCTATGATTACACCCCTTCATTACTAAACTAACCCCACTTCACCACATATAATGTGTAAAATGGAATCCCTACCCATTCAGTCAACCATCTACATAACTCCTCACTACATCCTCCCCCTCTCTCTCTCATCTCTTTCTTTGCATTTAACTCTTCCTAAAAATGGATTCTAACTCTAACTTTCTCATTCCTCACCTCGTCAATAGGAATCTCTTGGTAGCCTCTTTCAATGTTAATCTACTTATTTTTATCTGAATTTAAACAATAGATCATGAATTTTTTTTAAAATTAGAATTAATTTTGGATGAATAATTATCACCTAAACAAAGTAATCGCCAATTGAACATTCCAAGTTGCTCATAAAAGAAAAACATAATTTAAGCTTCGTTTGGTTATCCTCTACCTTTTCTAAAAGGTAGTTTTAAAATTGTTGTTTGAGATAACGAAGTTTTTTAATGGAGAAGTAAATACCCTAAATCTTTTGAAAATAGTAAAAAAATACAGTTCCTTAAAAAGCATTTATGCATAAGTCTCACAAACAAACAACACCCCAAAAAATTTTTTGTCGTTTCCAAACAGAGAAAGCAAAAAAAACCTGAATCAAAAGAGGCCTTAGTTGAATTTGGATGGTCTCCCTACTGACACTGGTTATCTTATAATATTAATTGTTGCTCCCCTGAATAATCTAAGATACAAAAAATTCCATCTGCAAAAAGATCACACTAAACTTGTTTACATAATTTTACACAAACAAGAATTGTCAGGTTATCATCGAGGTCTTGCTCCTTGTGATTCGATAAAAAGATAAATTGGATGGAATATAACATAGAAAAGGCTGTTGAATTTTGTTAGTGCAGTTATCTATTTGCCCACCTAATGTGGAGTCTTACATCTATCACTCATGTAGCCAACATGTTTATCACTAATCAAATAATTCATGAAATATCAATATTCTAATCCGAGGGGAGGGGCTTAGTTGATAAAGATTTTGAATTTGAAAATGAATGCCAAGGAATTGAATATTGACCATATCAAATTTGTTTCTCCAGCACTCAATATTCCTTTAAAGAATAATAATAAGGATAGTATTGTTATATTGTATCAAAAGCGGGAATATTAATTGACAAAGCAATGAATATTCATAATTTAGTTGATTTATTACAAGTGTTTATTTTTTTAGAAAGAGATGGCTACTGAGGACAAAACAAATTTATTAATATATTAACACTATGTAGCTTAAGATCTCAGCTAGCATCTCTATTTACAGAAATGACTTTCACAAAGGGGAACTTACAGTCAGACTCAGCAAATAAATGATGATTGCTGCCAAGTATAACTTATTTATGTTTTAAACAAACATTGTACCAAAGTATTGAAATAGGTCCAAAGCACCCTAACATTAAGTTAAGGAGAGTGGGATACTTTATGGCTTTGTCCAAGATAAAATGAATTCCAACAAATATCAATGTCTACCCAAAGATAATTTTGATGTAATAGTACTATTCTAGCAATGCATATCAATCGATGCAGTTTGTTGGGTGGACCAGCAGAACACGAGGGGATCTCTTTTCATATTAGCATCTATCAAAGAATACTGTACTAGCAAATTTCCAAGTGTAATTTTAATGTTAAAAACATAAAAACTATTCAAGCAAACGGCAAATATTACCACTAGATTTAAGTGGATAGGATTACACCCCTCTGGGATAGTGGAAGGAACATAAGAACCAATTGTAGTTTCTTTACCAGCTCCGTACCTGCAAAATTGAGAGAGCCATTGGTATGCTGAAGTGAACAAATGTAAACTGGTAACCAATTTTTATAGCAGTTAAAATCATATACCAACAAAAGAAAACACAGGGAAAAAAAATGGAAAACAAAGAAAGATGGATTACAAGCAAAAATAAAGGCAGATAAATAAAAAATCATATGACGAAATATTTTAACACTCAGCGTCAACAACACGTAAAGTTTAAATGCATCAATCAGATAGAAACACCATTTTTTCCACTATAGCAAGATCTAATCACGAGAAAAATGTCAAGGAATTTCTCCGAAGAAGAAAAAAGGGGAATAACATCCTCCATTATAGGGGAAGGAGAAAGACCTGGAGACGGTGGAGAGGTGCTGGCGAACGTCGAAGCTCTCATCGGTAGCAAAGGAGGTAGCGGCCGCGGACAAAGAGGAGCAGAAGTAGAAGAGGAGAAGGAAGACAAGGGTAACGCTCACGTAGAGAGTCATGCTTCGGCAGTAAGCAAGGAGAAGATCTTCCTTGCCGCGAGAGCGTGAAATGGGCTCAAGAGCTCTCCCGCATCCCCAGCTTTGCTGCGGCGACAGTCGGCGCCTTTAGGGGCTGTTTGGTATCGGATTTACAGCGGGATTTAAGTCGGATTTACGCTAAATCCAGCCAAACAGTTTTTGTGCGCGCGTTAAATCCCGGGATTCAGTAAATCCCGGATTTACGGATTTACAGCTTAAATCCGGGATTTAGTAAATCCGAGGGGTAGCCGGATTTAGTAAATCCGAGCGGGATTTATCCGAAGAAGCGCGCGAAAGGAGAAAGTTACCTTCACAGCCAGCGAGCTCCCGTTCTTGCTTCCCGTCTAGAATA